CCCGTGTGAAGCGGTATAATAAGGTGACCAATATTGAGTTGGTTAGGCGTCGAGTGCAAAGTAAGGATGGAAAATCCATCTACGAGGCTGTGAAGTTACACTGATTGAGATGGTCACGAAATGCACACAGAGCCATCGCCTTCCTCGACAGGCAATGTTAGGTGACATACGACCAGAATGAAAAAGATCCAGTGGTGATCGAACGAAAAGATGGCTTCATCAATCAATGACATCCACAACATTTAGTTTAAGCGGGCCACGTAAGGAAACGCAGATTGCCATGCTGGTTGGGGTCCTCAGGATAATAGAAATCAATGAAGACTAGAGACAATCGGTGATACGCCTGAATATCGTTCTCAATGGCTGGCCCAGGTGCATTCGTTCACTCTTTATGATTTATAATATCCAATAAACTTCTATGGATAAAGTATGAACAACAGTGGTTTGTGCAGAATAATATGGTAACATCATTGCTTGTTTCGTTGGCTTCTTATCAGCTCAGCTGCTTACAGCCTAAATAAATTATGAGCTTTATGTACACAAAAGTTTTAACACAATTGAAAAATTTTACATGATGTCAGTTGACAGAAAGTTCCACAATTAGTGAGTAGTGCCCAGAGAATTGAGCTTATATAGTTTTTACACAGGCAGTTCAAGTTTAAACAAAATAAGTGTATGCATGTCATCGTTCAACTAGATTTTAAAGGTGAAAACATTGCAGAAATGGTCAACAGAAGACTGAGAACGTCACTAGCCAGAGCCTATCCTGCAGCTAAGTTGGTTCCCGTTCATCGAACAACAGTCAACAGTCGATAGATACCCTTCTCATGTTAACTCCAACTGTGTATATAAATTTACGTGTATCTGCAGCAGCAGTTACATTGGGAGAACAGAAAGAAGGGCACACCTCCGATTTTCTGAACATGTGCCAAAAAGCCTACGTCTCAAGGGAACAAACTCTTATAGTAGCGCTATTACTAGACATCTCGACATGGGTCATGAGGTAGAAATGAAGAAATCCTTTAAAATTATCAATAGACAAAGGAGTTCCATTCTCCTCAAGTTTGCCGAATCAATTTCTATCAAACGCTTGAAACCAGATTTATGTTTTCAGAAAGAAGCATTTATTAATCTTTCCTTGCCCTGGTAACTGAATGTCTTTATTCTCTCATCTGATTACGTAATCTTTGTCTTTAACCTCATCCCCCTCTAATAATCTGTAATTTTGCTTGTCTCTTGTTTCTATGATTTGAGTTGAACTCAGTACACTGTTACCTAATTTATCAGTCACTCACCATCTTACGAACCTCTTGTCTTTATTACGTAACTCCCTTACCATTGTACTCATACATTTACTTTGTTTAAACTTGAACTGCCTGTGTAAAAACTATATAAGCTCAATTCTCTGGGCACTACTCACTAATTGTGGAACTTTCTGTCAACTGACATCATGTAAAATTTTTCAATTGTGTTAAAACTTTTGTGTACATAAAGCTCATAATTTATTTAGGCTGTAAGCAGCTGAGCTGATAAGAAGCCAACGAAACAAGCAATGATGGTACCTTATTATTCTGCACAAGCCACTGTTGCTTTTGCTTTATTCAAATTCATCAAGGGGAATAAATGCATGAAACTTCCATGATTCTTCCATATTACCATTCTTTTCGCCTCACTCACACTTCTGTTTGTTATCTCTCCTTTGAAACTCGCATTATTCTTTCGTCTTGCAATTTGTGGTACATGGAAGGAGAGTGGCAACTCGAACTGGTGTACATCTGTGCAAAGTTCTAAGTTGAAAGTAGTCAGCAGTCAGTAACAGTATGCAAGGGTAAACAAAGAGGATGACTATATTTCTTTTGCACACATCCATTTGTATAGGTCACACTTTATCTTATGTTCTGAATGACTGCACACTTTTTATACAAGTTCAATGGGACAATATTAAATAACTAACTATCACTCCATATTATACATGTACCCCTATACAACAGACAGTTTCTGATACAATTTTCACGTGCCTTTACTGGCTGGCTGACTGGCTATTTCTATTCTAATATAATTCGTGGATTTATAACTGATTGTAGAGCCTGAGGAAGAAGTTGATATCGAAAACACAATTGCTCACTCAAAAATCATCTTGTTCTGACAGAATTCAGTCTGCATTTCAACGGTGGACTAGACGAATGATAATCGTTACAACTTAGTGCCTCATCAAAGTGTTCATTACAGTCCTGAAGGAGTTCGATCACCATACCGAATAACTCAGCAGTAAATCCTTCAGCTGTAGGAGTAACAGACACGGGGGTGAATCCCAGAGACAACATGAGTTCCTTCAAGATTTCAGACAAGTACCAATACTGACGATGAATGACTGAAGCTCAGACGAACGACAAACTAGATGATTTTACCACATCTGTGTATATTTATCAATTCAACAGCTCTTGTAAAGACAGTTATGTTGGACGTACTGCCAGACAGCTTAGCCAATGTGTTACTAAACATCTACCAGAGTATTTAGGCTTTGGTAAAGAACAGTTATTTGACGGTGGTCACTGAGTGGAGAAAATGAAAGCATTCTAGGTGAACCATCGCATCTCGCCAAATCTTTCCAATAGACCTCATATTCATCTACTGCACACAGCTGAGGTGATAAACATTCGAACTATTAACTCACCTCCACTTCTCACCCCTGGGTTTGATTCACATCGCGTACTGTCAAGGAGTCCTAAACTATGATGAAATAGCTCCTCAACAATCCCTGGTTCTCCCTAGCTTGTATGAAGGCAGTGAAAGAGTAGCTCCTATTTACCGCCTTCACCCGGCTGCGGGGATGTTCCCCACAAAAGTGAAAGACCAAATATGAATATTTAGCGCTTAAAACTGAACTGGTAGGAATACAGGTCTGTGTAGCGCAGAGCTTGGAAAATCCTGAATCCAAGTATGCGGCGTGTGCATCAGTGGCAGAGCGGTTAGGACGCTCACCGACCATGCACATGGTCCGGGGTTCGAGCCCCGGTCGACTTACTCCCTTACCTCGCTAAGCCAGAAATAAAGCTGGTAAAGAGGGAAGGTTGGGCATGAAGCTAGCAACCCCATCCTGTAAAATAAACACTGCTACAGAAACTTCAAGCCTGTAGCTTGAAGCCCTATTTTCCACTGGGAACGTAAAGAAATGAAAAAATATGCGGCATATTTGGCGGTTCAAAATCACGACGGTTTGAATATAGAACGAACCTGGTTCGATTGCCTAAAACACTGAGGACGTCGCTTCTGACACAGCTCCATTTCTCCGTGGATCAGATTTTAAATCAACAGCTCGTGGAAGAGGGAGGGGGCTCTTGAAACGACTATTCGCTCATTGTGGGCACTCGGGAAGTATCTCAGCGCTTGCATGACGTATATCTTGGTGCCTATAATTTGCCAATTTTCTGACTTAAAAGTAATAATAATTTAACTGATGTCACTTTGTGGTCTAACTCCAAGACGATATTATGATTATGATTACTATTCACTTGGGTTCCGAATGGAACCATAATCTCTCATGTCCTACTCATTACACGATCTCCTCCATGTCACCCTCGTACCGACGACCCACTCGACCAATCGCATGCACTGCGCGCGATGCCTACTCAAAGTATGCCCGGCCCACCTTCATTTTCTCCTACATATTTGTTGAGCAATCGGCTCATGATTGGTTTGTTCATCGCCAGAGCTTCTTATTGCTAATTCTTTCTTGGGTATATCTTTGTGTTTCTACACGCTGTCTCCAATCCCCTAATCATTGAAAGCGCAGAAGTCTGAGAAGAGCTCTCCGTTATCTTCCTGTATTATCTCCTCCCTGCTCACCTGGCATTCATATCACCTAAGAAGATTTTGATGTCACCATTTGAGATGTTGTCCATTAGTGTTTGTAGTTGTCTGTGAAAATCCTCCTTCTCTTCTTCTTCCGCGTTGTCTGTAGGTGTGTAGTCTTGGATAATTGTTACCTTTCTTCCTTCTGAGTTGAATGTTGCTGTCATGATCCTGCAGGATGAAAATGGTTCCCACTGCATTAGTGCTTCGGCTGATGCTGGTGACATCATGATAGCCCCTCCCTCGGCGTGTTCGTGGTTGTTGTCAGGGTGACCGGAGTAGATTACCGACTCTCCAGTTGACAATTCTGATAACCCACATCCATTCCATCTGCTCTCGCAGATACTCAGCACCTCTATGCCATATCTTCACATTCCGTTGGCTACTTGGGCAACCTTCCCAGTCTCATACATTGTATGGACATTCTACATCCCCATTCTTATTCTTGCCCTCATCGATAGAAGATTCTGACTGGTTTCCCGAAGGCTGGCTTTCACCAACCCACTATGCCATTTCGCCTCTCCGATTCCAGCGAAGAATTGGTTTAAAAAAATTTTTGGTAATTTTATTGTGCGTTGAAGTTTCTGTGGCAGTTTGATAGGTGGTGTAAAGAAGAAAAGACCGAGAAGGCTGAAAGGAATGTATATTTGATGAAACGTATGGTACATAGCTAAATTTGGTATACCATATTCTCAACCTGCCATTTGCACATCATTTACCACATCCTTGACGAATTGGTCGAATATCGTCACATTCGATAGCTTCTTGGATTCTCCATCATATGGCAACATTCTTCTCATGGTTCTCTTCTTTGATTGCTCTTTCCAGGTTGCCAAACATATTGTTACTTTTCTGAATTCGTTTCTGATATACTACTTATATCGGATTATAAGTAGCACTCACCACAGTGGGGTAAGGTCGCCAGCTCCACAGTTAACCCTCCCTCTTTACCCGGGTTTGAGACCTGCTAGTAAATTAGGCGAGGTTTCCAAGTCGATAAAATCCCCGTCAATCAAACTTGAGGACTAAATTTTCCCTACCTTTGAACTAATACAAGATTTAAAGTCAATTTACATACTTTAATTCGTTACTTCAGTCATTCCGAAAAATAACCTTGACCGAAATAAATTTCCCAAGTTCACTAATCATTACCAGAAAAAATCGATTATTCCTCTCATTTCAGGACTGAAAAAGTACATTTACAGAAAATAAGAACAAAAACTGATCTAATTTAAATGTTGGAGATAAACTTTTCATCTAATCTAACGTTACCTAAAATATTTTCTGTCCGTTGAAATGCTTCGAATTAACTTCGTTTCCTTTTGTTTTAAACATCTAATCACGTTGATGAATGGCGATTTCTACTCGCGCATATTTTGAAATGAATTTTGTTGCTTATTGTTATTATTCTTTTGGGTTCCGAGTGGAACACAGACAGCTTAAACAACCCATTTCCACTTTCTTCTATTTTCTGCTCTCCTCTTCAGCTGGATCTACGATTGCCCATAAGCTATCATCTCTTCCACCAACTCGTACAATCTCCTCCATGTCAACCCTCCCACACACACACCGACGACCCACCCGTCACTTCCCATTCACCTCCCTCTCAACCAATCGCGTGCACTGAGCGCAATGTCTCCTCAAAGTATGCCTGATCCATCTTCATTTTCTCCTACATATTTGTTGAGCAATTGGCACTCGGCTGATTTGTTAACAGAGTTTCTTGTCGCTAATTCTTTCTGGCTGACCGTTTGATTTTCAATATACAATGAGGTTAGTTGTTGATAGAAGTCTCTAACTTGTTAGAAATGTTTTTGGTGACGCGCGTGCCAAGTTCCTGACTCGTATAGAAGAGGAAACTGACTAACTTCACATTTATGTTGAACAGAATCCGGATCTTGTTCTTTGTGCTGGCTGGCTGAGTGAGTGCAGAAGATTTCCAAACTGGTTTCAGGTTGATGAAGGCGTATCTTGCCTTTCGAATTCTGGCCGCTTTTGACATCTTCATACGTGGTTTCCACTTGTGGTTGAAACCGGGTTTCTAAGATAAGTGAAGGAACTTAACTCTGTGAAACCTCTCCTGTTGATGGTGATTAGTGCTAGTTGTTGCTGCTGTTGGTTGGTTATCTTCATTACCTCCGTCTTCCCTATGTTCACTTGGAATCCTGTCTTTGCTGCTTCTTCTACCAGTTTGTTGGTTTTCGCCTACAAGTCGTCTTCGAGTTTGTGTGACATTAGAAATAAATCATCTGCGAAATCTAGATGCCCTATGGTCTTTTTGTCGGTCCAACGTATTGCTGTCTTCTCACTCCCCATACACAGTCTGACGCATAATCCAGTCTACCATAATTAAGCATATTATTATTATTGTTGTTCCCTTGGGTTCCTAGTGGAACATAGGGCTTCAACTACACGCCTCCACTTGCTTCTGTCTTCTGCTGTATTTTTCACTTGCATCCATGTTAGTCCATACTGTCTCATCTCCACCTCACACGATCTCCTCCATGTCACCCTTGGACGTCCCACTCGCCGCTTCCCTTTCGGGCTCCACTCGAGCATTGGCCTGACGCGCGATGTCACCCAGCGTTGGCCTCCGCAGCGAGTGTCCAATCCATCTCCACTTCCTCCTGCATATTTGTTTAGCGATTGGTTCCTGTTTCGTTTGTTCCCATAGCTTCTTGTTTGTGATTCTTTCTGGCCATCTAATCTTCAGTATGGAGCGAAGACAGTTGTTGATAAAGGTCTGCAACAGGTTGTTGGAAATATTCTTTGTGACACACCAAGTTTCTGATCCGTAAAGCAAAATTGACTTCACGTTTGTATTGAAAATCCGAATTTTGTTGTTGATACTGAGTGACGAAGATTTCCAGATTGGTTTCAGGTTGATGAATGTGTTTCTCGCCTTCCCGATTCTCGATTTGACATCCTCGTCCGTTCCTGTCTCCTGTAGTTGAGACAATGCTCCCTAGATAAGTGAAAGAAGTAACCTCTTTCAAATCCCTCCCGTTGATGGTGATTGGCGCTGGATGTTGCTGCTGCTGTCGGTTGGTTGGTTGGTTAATTTCATAACCTCCGTCTTGTCTATGTTCACCTGGATTCCTGTCTTTGCTGCCAGCCTCTTCGACCAGTTTGTCGGTTTTCGCTTGTAAGTCTTCGATTTTGTGTGACATCAAACATAAATCATCCACGCGCGAAATCCAGGTCTTCTAGGCTCTTCACGTCCGTCCAGGATATCCCTGTCTTCTCGTTTTCCACTGTCTGACGCATAATCCAGTCCACCACAATTAGGAATATCATTGGTGATAATAAGCACCCTTGTCTGACTCCTGTGTTTACTTTAAACGCCTCGCTGAGTTTTCCGTTGTGGATCACTTGACATGTGCCGTTGTCGTACAGTTGTTGAATAAGGTTGATGAATATTTGGGGTACGCCATAGTACTCGAGTAGTTTCCAAATTACTTCGCGGTCAACGCTGTCGAAGGCCTTCTCAAAGTCTATGAAGTTGAGGTAGAGATTTGATTGCCATTCCATGCTTTGTTCGATGATAATGCGTTGAGTTGCAATTTGGTCAGAACATGATTTGCCTTTCCTGAATCCAGCTTGTTCTGGTCGGAGTTCTGTATCCAGCGCGTCCTTGATTCTCTCCAGGATGATGCGACTCAGGATTTTACTTGGCGTCGACAGGAGCATGATTCCTCGCCAGTTCTTGCAGAGTCCCATGTCGCCCTTCTTTGGTAGTTTCACCAGGTAACCTTTCCTCCAGTCAGTAGGCACCTTTCCCTCTTTCCAGATCTTTTGCAATAATGGAGTCAGCATATCTGCCGTCGTTTCTGGGTCCGCTTTCAGTGCTTCCGGGGGTATTCCATCTGGTCCAGCTGCTTTTCCAGCTTTCAGAAGCTTGATTGCATTCATGACTTCAGTTTTCGTTGGAGGATTGGTGTCAACTTGCAGTTGTGTACGTGCTGTTGTTGGTATTACTGGACGGGTTGTAGGTGGTGGTCGGTTCAAGAGTCCTTTGAAGTGGTCCGCCCATTGTTTAATCTGTCTTTCTTCTTTGGTAATTGGGTTCCCTTGGCTGTCTTTTATAGGTTTCACTTGTGGTGATCTCTTCCCGGATAGAGACTTGGTTATCTGATATAGTGTCCTCAGGTCCCTTTTGCCTGCTGCCTTCTCAGCTTCAGTAGCCAGGTTGTCGTAGAATTGTCTTTTGTCCTTCCTGGCACTCTTCTTCACTTCTTTGTCCAGTGCTGTGTAAGTTGAGCTCAGCGTTTCCTTCTCTTGTCCATCTTTGCATTGAATCATTTTCTCTTTCACCTTTCTCCTCTCCTCTATTAGTTTCCAAGTGTCCGTTGAGAGCCATTCCTTGTCTTGTTTCTTCTTTCTTCCTAAAACCGTTGAACACGTTTCGTTGAAAATTACCTTCAGAGAGTTCCAATGGTCTTCCACGGATGATTCCTCAGTGGTGCCACGTAGTGTTTCCTGCTTTGCTCTGACAGTTGCAGTGAAAATGTCCTGTGTGATTGTGTCCTTCAGTTTTTGCGTGTTGAACTTGCATTGTGGTCTATCCCCAGGTATCCTCGAGGCTTTCAGCTTCACCTTGAAAGTCCCTTGTACTAGATAGTGGTCTGAACCCACATCTGCTCCTCTCCTCGATCTTGTGTCCAGTAGGCTCCGTCTCCACTTCCTTGAGATTGAAATGAAGTCTATCTGGTTTTTGGTGTGTCCATCTGGTGAAATCCATGTTGCCTTGTGTATATCCCTGTGTTTGAACACACTGCCACCAATCACCAAATCGTTGGAGGCGCAGAAGTCTGAGAAGAGTTCATCATTTTCGTTCATTTCACCGAGGGCCTCGCGACCCATGGTGAGTTCTCTTCCTGTATTGTCTCCTCCCAGTTTCGCATTCATGTCTCCCATCAGGATTTTGATATCGCTCTTTGGGACGTTGTCCATTACTGTTTGTAGTTGACTGTAGAAATCCTCCTTCTTCTCTTGTTCTGAGACGTTTGTAGGCGGGTAGCACTGAATGATTGTAACCCTTTTTCCTTTTGAGTTGAACCCGGCTGTCATTATCCTGGAGGAAATTGGTCCCACTGCATGAGAGCTTTAGCCGCTGTTGGTGACATCATGATGGCTACTCCCTCGGTGTGCTCGTGCTCGTCCTCTGGGTGACCGGAGTAGATTATGGTCTCTCCAGTTGATAGTTGGCTCCTTCCACATCCGTTCCATCTGCTCTCGCAGATTCCCAACACTTCTATTTTATATCTCCTCATTTCTGCGGTTACCTGAGCAGCCTTCCCAGCTTCGTACATTGTACGAACATTCCACGTCCCCATCCTTATTTTTGCTCTCATCGAAAGAAGGCACATCGGCTGACTGGCTTCCCGAAGGCTTTCACCAGCCTGCGTCATTTCACTTCCCCGATTCCAGCGAAAAATAAGGTCATTGTTTGTATTTTTAGAATTTTTAATATATTTGTGCGTTGAAGTTTTAGTAGCAATTTGGTAAAGTTTTGGGGGTGGTCATTGGTCATAATAAGCAGCCAGCCTTGTATTAATCTTGTATTCACTTCGAATGACTCGCTGTGTTTTCCGTTGTGGACCACCTGACACGTGACATAAGCGATCTCGAATTTTAGATGTCATCACGAACCAACAACAGTTAGAGAGAGATTTGGACAATACAAGAAGAAGACGCAGTGTATGGTAATGTGATAATTCACGCCTTCTATATAACTATGCATGACAAGTACGTGTGTGTGTGGTCAGAATGTCTGAAATGTGTTGCGAAAACGACACATTACACGCTTCAGATAAACTATTTCTTCTTATTGTGTTATCGAAAAACGTAAAGGGAACTAATTGCTTCAAAGTTAGTGAGATCATTAAAAACCAGGGGGGGCAATGGATACCTACCTACCTAATAATAATATTAATGACGACACCAAAAATAAGGAATCTAAGTCATCAGTAGTAATTCCATACAAGGAAGGAACCTCGGAAACCACCTTCCGCAGAATTCTTAAAAAGGCAGGCAGGAATAAAAGTGGTTGGCATTCAAACCCCCCCCACAAACTCAATTAGAAACAAGCTTTGTCGGTTAAAACATCAATCCTGTGGAGCCTTTAAAACAAAACAATTTAATTTTTCTCATACCTTTCTGGAATGATTGTCAATTCAATTACATAAGTCACCCTAGTAGAACAGGGGCAGTCAGACCAGCCGAACATAAAAGCCTAGCAAAATCTAGATTATAAAATTATATTTGTAAAATCTCAGCGAAATTGAAATGATTAATTCCAACGTTTCTTTCGGCAATCTGGTCCGAACTTCTTCAGGGAAATTAATCGAATTAACATAACAGAGGTTTATATATAAAAGGAACAACTCATGTTTTTAAACTTTGTCCAATCATGAGTCATGCAACAGTCATCAACAAGTATAATAAATAAATAAAATAGTATGTTTATATATATATAAAAGTACATCTCTTTTAAATTGTTTGTCCAGTCATGTGAATCAATAAACAGCTATCAATAGGTATAGTAAACAAAACAAAACAAAATCTTTAATCTGAACTGTGATCAAAATTTGACCTCAGACTTTCAACATTAGTCTACTTTTGTTAAAAATATATAAGTGTATATGTGTTATGCAGTATCAATGGTGTGTGTGTGTACATGTGTGTATGTGTGTGGGTGAACAGTCATAAAACATTTGTTATTCTCATATGAGCTATGATCAAGATTTGACCGGAAAGTTACAAAATAATTGAGATGTTTTTACAAATATAATATAATTTTATAGATTTGTTATTCTCTCCATAAAAGGACGTAGACAATCGGGAATTTGATCCAGTGTGACTAGTTGTTGAAAACATATCCAATTTATTTATTAGTCAGGATTTGCCATGCATCAGCTAAGATCACACCTTCACGTCTGTTCAAACTGTTGGGATTCACCCATATATGTAGGGCTTCTGCAGTCAGTCTTTCTTTATATGAACCAAAACCTTTCTGTAAAACCTTAGTCTTATCAAAGTCGATTTTGTGTCCCGTTTCTATCGAGTGCAGTGCGATCGCTGAGTTGTTTTCTAGCTTCTTCAAGTCTGCAGAGGTCTTTGGAACCACCTTTAGACATTGTTTATGCTCTTTCACCCTTACATTTACCTGTCTGGAAGTTTCTCCTACATATACGGCGTTACAATCCCCACAATTGATCTGGTAAACACAATTTTGCTGGTTTTCTTGTTCGATTTTATCCTTAACCTTAACCAGTAATGAGCGTAAGGTGTTTGATGCACGAAAATACACTCGTATATTATGGTCGTTAAGGATTCGCTTTATTTCGTCGGAAGTTTCTTTGCGGTAAGGAATCACCGCTGTACTAACCCAATTCTTAGCATCAGGTTTCGATTCATCTTTGTCTTCACATTTTAAATATCTTTTTATGAAAGCTTTAGGATAATTATTTGATTCAAGAGTGGATTGAACCAATTTTAATTCCTTGCTAATATCTTCCTCCTCAGTAACTAGACGTTTGGCTCTGTTGATCAGATTCTTGGCCACAGTTACTTTGGTGGTAAATGGATGAGCTGAATGGTAATCTAGGTATCTATCCGAATTTGTCGGCTTTCTAAAAATGTTTATTTTAAATTTTCCATCTAATTTTCTTTGTACTAAACAGTCCAGGAACGCCAACTCATTGTCATCGGATTCAACCTCTTTGGAGAATTTAATAGTTTCTGATATATTGTTTATTAAGTGAAACAGTTCATTTAACAAACTACGTTTGATTATGATGAAAGTATCATCTACGTATCTTAACCACATCTTTGGGGGACTAGGGCATTTCATAATTGCATTTGTTTCTAATGAGTGCATAAATAGATTGGCGACTAGCGGAGATACTGGTGATCCCATAGCAATGTGGTTAAGATACGTGGATGATACTTTCATCATAATCAAACGTAGTTTGTTAAATGAACTGTTTCACTTAATAAACAATATATCAGAAACTATTAAATTCTCCAAAGAGGTTGAATCCGATGACAATGAGTTGGCGTTCCTGGACTGTTTAGTACAAAGAAAATTAGATGGAAAATTTAAAATAAACATTTTTAGAAAGCCGACAAATTCGGATAGATACCTAGATTACCATTCAGCTCATCCATTTACCACCAAAGTAACTGTGGCCAAGAATCTGATCAACAGAGCCAAACGTCTAGTTACTGAGGAGGAAGATATTAGCAAGGAATTAAAATTGGTTCAATCCACTCTTGAATCAAATAATTATCCTAAAGCTTTCATAAAAAGATATTTAAAATGTGAAGACAAAGATGAATCGAAACCTGATGCTAAGAATTGGGTTAGTACAGCGGTGATTCCTTACCGCAAAGAAACTTCCGACGAAATAAAGCGAATCCTTAACGACCATAATATACGAGTGTATTTTCGTGCATCAAACACCTTACGCTCATTACTGGTTAAGGTTAAGGATAAAATCGAACAAGAAAACCAGCAAAATTGTGTTTACCAGATCAATTGTGGGGATTGTAACGCCGTATATGTAGGAGAAACTTCCAGACAGGTAAATGTAAGGGTGAAAGAGCATAAACAATGTCTAAAGGTGGTTCCAAAGACCTCTGCAGACTTGAAGAAGCTAGAAAACAACTCAGCGATCGCACTGCACTCGATAGAAACGGGACACAAAATCGACTTTGATAAGACTAAGGTTTTACAGAAAGGTTTTGGTTCATATAAAGAAAGACTGACTGCAGAAGCCCTACATATATGGGTGAATCCCAACAGTTTGAACAGACGTGAAGGTGTGATCTTAGCTGATGCATGGCAAATCCTGACTAATAAATAAATTGGATATGTTTTCAACAACTAGTCACACTGGATCAAATTCCCGATTGTCTACGTCCTTTTATGGAGAGAATAACAAATCTATAAAATTATATTATATTTGTAAAAACATCTCAATTATTTTGTAACTTTCCGGTCAAATCTTGATCATAGCTCATATGAGAATAACAAATGTTTTATGACTGTTCACCCACACACATACACACATGTACACACACACACCATTGATACTGCATAACACATATACACTTATATATTTTTAACAAAAGTAGACTAATGTTGAAAGTCTGAGGTCAAATTTTGATCACAGTTCAGATTAAAGATTTTGTTTTGTTTTGTTTACTATACCTATTGATAGCTGTTTATTGATTCACATGACTGGACAAACAATTTAAAAGAGATGTACTTTTATATATATATAAACATACTATTTTATTTATTTATTATACTTGTTGATGACTGTTGCATGACTCATGATTGGACAAAGTTTAAAAACATGAGTTGTTCCTTTTATATATAAACCTCTGTTATGTTAATTCGATTAATTTCCCTGAAGAAGTTCGGACCAGATTGCCGAAAGAAACGTTGGAATTAATCATTTCAATTTCGCTGAGATTTTACAAATATAATTTTATAATCTAGATTTTGCTAGGCTTTTATGTTCGGCTGGTCTGACTGCCCCTGTTCTACTAGGGTGACTTATGTAATTGAATTGACAATCATTCCAGAAAGGTATGAGAAAAATTAAATTGTTTTGTTTTAAAGGCTCCACAGGATTGATGTTTTAACCGACAAAGCTTGTTTCTAATTGAGTTTGTGGGGGGGTTTGAATGCCAACCACTTTTATTCCTGCCTGCCTTTTTAAGAATTCTGCGGAAGGTGGTTTCCGAGGTTCCTTCCTTGTATGGAATTACTACTGATGACTTAGATTCCTTATTTTTGGTGTCGTCATTAATATTATTATTACTATTATTATCATTATTATTATCACTATCACTACTATCATCAGTGATTTTATTTTTGCATTTCCCTACATACTTTCTGACTTATTTATCAGATTAATTATTAAGTTTCATGGGCTCTCTTATATGTCTCACTACTTGTCTTAGATTTTCCCTGGTACTACTTATTTTTTGTGCTCTGTCACTTAAACATTTCACCAATCCTACTTTCACTGACTTAGGATGGGATGATCGGAAGTTCAAATATGTTTGATTGTGTGTTCAACTCCCCATCTTCTTTCTTTTATATGTTACAATCTAACTTCGGAATTTCCCTCTCCTGAGTTTTCACTTCATAAGTATGATACATCCAATAAACAAATTAATATGCTGGTTCCTATTCATTCACGTTGTGAGGTCAAGCTTCTGAAGAGCCCCCAAAATAGGATGAAACAGCTGGCCATCCAGTACTCCCAACTGGTTTTTCAATGATTCCCTTCTAACTAACATTAATCCACGACCAAAACTTGAAAAAGGGTAATAATTTATCCAAAAAATTTATATTTTTGTTTATATATATTTTTTTGTTTGAATGTAAACTCTCAATGAATAATGAATAGAACTTTATGCAGATGGAATGTTGTAACATTGGTAATAATAACAATAACATTGTTATGACATAACAATGCTTACGTAATCACTATAATAATAACAATAATAATAATAACGGTAATGGCTATTACTGTTTAGCGAATGAATTCACAATAGTATTTAATTGTTTACATACAGTCAGTGCAAGTGTTTTACACGATCTACTATGTGATACTGATTGTAAAATTGATTTCAAGGAATCTATTGTATCATGAATTTTGGCGGAATCTCTTACTGTAAGACATGAACTGGCTGACATGATGCCCAAGAGTTGCAGGAAATGAGGTAAATCCTTGAGGAGAAACCAAAGTATGAATAATAATAATAAGAAGAAAATGAGAATATTATTTATCAATGTGGAATAAATTATTAACAAAATGTATTTTGTAGGTTCACAGAAAGATGTTTCTCTGTCGGCTTTCTAGCACTACTACTCATAATGGCACCACCACCTGCCAAGGTGCTCAATCATCTCACACGACATTCACCAGATGGACTGTGATCAAACGGTGATGTTGAGTAAAGGGTTTGTTTCAAGCTTGACCACGAATTGATATCTGTTAGGAAACCATTAGATAAGTAGTAAGTACTGGACAGCAGATGTTTCGTCCTAGTTTGTGACACTTCAGAGGTGCAGACGCCCACTAGGATTCGAACCAGGGACTTGGTTTTCAATGGTTCTCTCTCTAACTGACATCAATCTGTGATCAAGCTCAAAGGTTTTAGGATTATTAATAAGCAAGTACGGAAGATGTCAAGGCTCATAGGTTAAACAAATCGTAGTGGAAAAAAGGACCTGTCTTCATTCAAATTGATTTTAAGGGTAATAATATTGCAGGAATAACCGACAAAAGACTGAATGTATCACTAGCCAGAGCCTGTCCTGCAGCTAAGTTGGTTCCGGTTTATCGGACGACATGCTCTTTGATACAGTCAAAAGTCGGCAGATACTCTCCTCACGTTAACTGCAACTGTGTATATAAGTTTGGATGTGTCTGCTGGGGGGCAGTTACATTGGGAAAACAGAAAAAAGGACATAACTCCGATTTTCTGAACATGTACCGAAAAGCCTACATCTCAAGGGAACAAATGCTTTCAACAGTGCCATTGTCAGGCACTTCCTTGACATGGGTTATGAGGTGGACGTCGTAAGATGCTTCAGAATTACCAATAGGCAAAAGAGTTCAATTCTCCTCAGGTTTGCCGAAGCAATCTCCATCAGGTGCCTGAAACCCGATTCATGAGTTCAGAAAGGAGAGGTTATCAGTCTTTCCCTACCCTGTCTGGTAACTCGATGTTTTCATCCTGTCTTTCATCTGATTACGTAACGCCGAAAAATTACACTGTGTATGATTACTATTACCATGCGAATTTTCAACGCTACTGTTACATCACCACTTCAGTTGAGTTCAGAGACTTGACACTAACGGCACAAAGGTAGTCCTAGCAGCTATCTTTGCTTAATACTGAAGATCAGATAGACACGAAAGATAAGCAGCAAGGAGTGATGATGGTTAGCGAATCGGACAACAAAATATTGACCAACAAACATGGCGAAGAGAATGGAGAGGTATTGGACATACACTGATGAGACCTTCAACAGACGCTGTACATCCACATCCTCGAGTGAAGTCCAAAGAGGCATTGGCGGACTTGATGTGGATCCAAGTGTGAGATAGAGAAGGTCATTTAAGGTGGAAATGAAAGCAATGACAATGGACGGGAATTCAATAGAGACGTTTCACAGAATCCTTTTTCTTCATTTGTAACAGGCATGTAAATTGAAAGAGAAAAACGGATATTTTTCTCTATGCATTAAATATGTACTGAATTATTTTCTCTCTTCCTTTTCTTGAAGTCGAATATAAGAAAATTGATGGCAACTCCCGTCGATGGTAACATTCGCTGGGATAGCTTTATGACGAAAGACTACTACTTCCTATTCACGGCTGATGAGTATTGGATCAGTGAACCAGGTAGATATAACAATAAGACAACTATCATTATTATAGTCTCCTGTAGTTCCTAGAGGAACATAGGGATTCAACCGCATGTCTCCACTGAGTTCGGTTCTCCGCCAACGTTTTCACCTGGCTCCACGTCTACCCACATGCTTTCATCTCCTCTTCACATCACCTCCTCCACTCCATTTCACCCTCGCACTGACGACCAACTCGCCGCTTCCCATTTGGGTTCCACCCGAGAGAAAGCCTGGCAAGTGATGTCACTCGATGGTTGGTTTTCTCAGAGTATGGCCAGCCAATCCACCTCCATTTCTCCCTGCATATTTCTTGCACAGTTGGTTCCTGCTGGGTTGGTTCGTTCACTGCCAGAGATCCCTGTTGCTCATCTTTTCTGGCCGGCCATCTGACCTTGAGTAGTATTGAGCGAAGACAGCTGTTGATGAAGGTCTGTAGTTTGTTCGAAGTGCTTTTCGAGACACGGCACGGTGCGGCGCCAAGTCTCTGATCCGTATAGCACATAGCACTGAATTCCCATTGGAGTTGAAAATCCGCATCTTATTTTCATTTTTCATGCTAAGTAGTGCTGTTGATCACCACACAGGACTTGAGAGTAAGATAAGCTTGCCTTACTACTACTTACTAGTAATGAAAAAAGTACAAAAAGAGACATTTTATTATTGAATAAAACTTACCTCAGAATCAGGTTCTAAATCGCGTAATTGTCGATTTATCACTTCAATAATCACTTCAAAATCATTATGATAGATCAGCACTGAAGTATCCGGAGAGTAGAATAAATCACAAAGAAATTTGATCACAGTATTTGTAGGCGTAGTTTTTGAATTGACATGATGATCAGACAGTACTGGCTTGTTGTCAGTCAGCTCTAAAGAGCTCCTTTGACGACGACAGCCTAGATTAGAATTCCACAGACTTTCAATATATTCTAAATCATCATGAGTATTATTGTCAGAGCGTGAATTAGCTTCAAATATTTTTAAAAACTCCTCTAAACCTTTAGCTGTAGTGGCAGTAGATGTATCATTGGTGCAACCGTCATGTATATTGGACTGACAAAAGTTAACCCATTGGATTAGACAACTTTCTCTGTCATCATTTTTATGCTTTGGAAGAAAAGTCACCATAAATGTTGGGTCGACTGAAATTAGAAACCGAAAAAACACAAACATTGTAGATTATTTCCATATTAGATAAAATTTGATATAAGAATAAAACTTGGGCACTGTGATAGAGCATAATTCCATTACGGGTAACATTTATTTTGATAAATCACACAGTGGTGTTATACAGTAATATTAACTGATGACCACCTTTCGAGCACAAACTATTGCCACTCATAATCATATCAAGTCACTCACACAACTTCGTTTATATAATTTCACTATTTTTCATCGCTTGACTTGATTGGTAGTAGTATTTTCCATATTTCCGGTATGAGTGATGAGTCATTGCATCCTACTGCACGTGTTGGGTGTAAATTCGATGAACCAGGATTCAGTAATCAACTTCTCTCCACCTACCTATATTGCATCTTAGAATTTTAACCCTCTCCCACCCTATTGTGTTGTTTTGTGTGTTAATGCATGCAGTGCTGAGTTTTTTTTCTAAATTACTTATCTTCGTGAGGTCAACCATTCTTACCTTAGCTAAATTCTTATGTTCCGACAATCTGACTATCCCCGCCCGATCTACTAGTTTAACCTATGTAGTTGACCTCACTCACAGTCATTGCAGGGTATTTTGTAAATTATATTATTTTGTCTAATTGGGTCAACTGGGTCCTTTAACCTACAGAGCTTGTCCCTAAGTGAGTTTGTAGGTTTAAATGCCACCCTAATTCCTGCTTTATTTAGAATCCTACGTAGGGTCTCAGATGTCCCCTCTTTATATGGTATAACTGTAGATGATTTATATTCTCTCTTATTTATTTTATTACTACTAGTTTCACAATTCTTTTTATTTTGTTTTTGGCCTTTACTGATCTTCTCAATGAATTTTATGGGATAGTTATTGAACACCAACGCTTCTTCTATCTGTTTTATTTCATCATTTAGGTCTTTTCTTGTGCTACTTAGTGCTACTGCTCGGTTTGTTAAACACTTAACTAAGCCTGCTGCCTTAACAGTTAAAGGATGAGATGAATTAAAGTCTAAATATCTATTAGAATGCGTTGGTTTTCTATAAACACTGGTGTGTAGTTTGCCTTCTTCTATTCGTTTTATTTTACAATCTAACATATCTAATTCTCCTTGCTCGTCTTCGGTTTCAAATGTGAATTTTATTCCCTCCACTAGTGAGTTTATGTGTGTCAAGAAGCTAGAGATATGTTCTGTTTTTAACACTGTGAAAGTGTCATCCACATATCTCCACCATATTTTTGGAGTAGGATTAAACGTATTAAGTGCCATATTTTCCCAGCTATCCATAAATATATCTGCTACGATAGGGGATATTGGTGATCCTATTGCTACACCTTTAGTTTGTCTATATTATTTTGCCTTGGAATTTAAAGACAGATGTGAGGCATAACTGAATTCCTAAAATAATTTCTTCAATGGGCAGCTTCGTCCTACGATTGAGTTCAGGATCTGCAGTTAGTTCTTTTTTAACTGATTCTAAGGCTGCCATATTGATTGGCATATTAGTGTACAGACTAGTTATATCAAAACTGACCATTCTTTCATTATTCTCTAATTGAATGTTATTTAGTTCCCTTTTCATTTCATATGAATCAGTTAGTCTAGAGTTTGAACGATTTCCAATGGGGCATAATATTAGAGCTAAGTGTTTTCATAATTCATAAATAGGGGTATTCCTGAAATCTACTATTGATCGTATGAGGTAACCTGGTCTATGTATTTTAATAGTACCATGTATTCTACTAACATTGTTAGTTTTAGGCATTAAATTAAACCATTCAGAGTCATCTAGTGACGGCTTCATTCTGCGTATTGAATCCGCTGTAGATTTTTTAACCTTAGTCATTATTGTATCTACAGGCTTCTTAATTTCCTCATATGGACCCGTCTCAATATGTTCAGTGCTCGAAACGTCATCAGTAAATATTACTGTATAGCACACTGTCAGACTTTATCAAAACAAATTTTACCTATAATGGAATTTTTTCCCTTCACGTTCCCAGTGGAACATAGGGCTTCAAGCTAGTGGCCTGAAGTTTCTGTAGCAGAGTTTATTTTACAGGATGGGGTTGCTAGCCAATCTCATGCCCAACCTTTCCTCTCCACCAGCATTATTTCTGGCTTAGAGGGGTAAATGAGTGCGTCGGCTGGGGATCGAACCCGGGACCATATGCAGGGTCGGCGAGCGTCCTAACCGCTATGCCACCGACGCACCATAATGGAATTAGATAAAATTTATTTTAAATATCACACAGTGATTACACTGTATTAACAAAACCAGCATTTATAGGAAACCGACACACACACACACACACACACACACATTCTAATGCACCCGGAATCAGTAAAGAAGGGTTTAGTTAAAATGTCTGTTTAATCGGGCCAAGTGCCTAACTAACTCGTAAGCCGGAAGATTTAAATAATGAAATCGAACAAATAAAGGAAATAGCACTGGTGAACAGCTAAATACCCACCAGAATTCATTTAAAAATATATGAAGAACCACAGAAAATCTAAGATTAGTAATAAAAATGACGAAAATAATAAAGAATTCAAAGCCTCTGTAGTACTGCCGTATAAAGAAGGAACGTTAGAGGCTTTACGTAGGATTCTCAATGATGCTGGAATTAGTCAGGGTGGCATTGAAATCTATCAAGCAACTAACTCTCTGAGGGATAAACTCTGTCAGCTTAAGGTTCCAATAGATCCAATTCAGCAAAATAATGCAATTTACCAAATACCATATAATGCTGACTGTGAGGTCAATTCCATAGGTGAGTCAAACTAGTAGATCGGGGTCAATTGGATTACTGGAACATGGAACTTTAGCTAGACCTAAAATAACTGACCCTGTTTAATTAAATAACCTAAAAAAAAGCTCGGTTATCACACAATAGAATGGGCAGGACAGAGTGAGAGTATTAAAAAGTAATACAATTACGTGGGGAGAGGGAAAGGTTAATCACTGAAGCTTTGTTTATCAATTCCACACCACACGCATGCAATTGAAATGACATATCGCCTCTACCGGGGATATGGAAAGTCGCAACAAACACCAAGGGGAGGTTGGAGAGAGAGAGAGAGAGAGAGAAAGTATATACATTGTGAGAGAAATTGTGAAGCCATGTGATTAAATTGATATGATTATGAGCAATAATCCACACTCGAAATATTGTCATCCAGTTGTGAATATTGCATCACTCACTGTGTGATGTTTAGAATGAAGTAATCTAATATGGAATTAAATTCTAGCGTACTGCCCAAATTCTACACTTAAATTAATGTTTCCGTGGCATTCATCAATCCGAGTTACTTCTTGAGACGACGAAAGCTCCGCAACTAAACCAACCAGCTCAGAGAACACTACTAATTGCAAATCATTCACCTGAAATACAAATCTTCTCTATTATTTCAAAAAATAGGACATTAGTAAAACTGAACAGACAAAGCTAAGCTGACGCAATTCCATTATGGATAAAATTTTATTTCGATGATAAAGTCTCACAATTTGTGCTATATAGTGCTATATTTACTGATGACCACGTTTCGAGCACTATTGATTCCTGCTCATAATTATATCAACACACTACTACTCGCATAACTTCCATCACTTTTCATCTCTTGATACGGTTGGTGGTCATATTTTCCAGATCTCTGGTATTGATGATGAGTCGTTCCCTATTGCAAATCCGATCACCACCACCACCACGTCAAGGTAGCAAGCAGCCACAGGTCTTCACATTAGACAAAGGTCTTAAAGCTGATGAACTCACAACCAGCACAGCACCGACAATTTCACAATAAGAAGGGGTCGAACTCAAAACCTGCTGGTGACAATTAGTTGAGCTGGCCGAACAAATAAATAAATCAATAAATACAAAAAAGAAACGTATTGATTATTACAACTTACAATTACGATTGAATGTCTGAATAACAATTTCAAGGAATAGACGAGATGATATTGATTCACTGAGCAAGGCTTCCAATAGAGGACTTTTAACACAGACAGAATCAGCGAGATCATTTTTACACGGAGAATTGATTGTGTAGACTGAAGTGTTAAAATGCCAATTACACGCTAAGAAAAATACTGTTACAGTATATGAAAACATTTCACACTGGCGACTTTGTTCATTAGAGATGCTGTTATTTTTCTTATTATTATTATTATTACCACTATCACCATTAGCATCAGCATTATTATTATTGCTTGTAATTGAGAGTTCACGATGATCAGTAAAATTTTCTAAATCGATTAGATTTGAACTGGTTGAACTCGTTGAATCGCATAATTTCATCAAATGACAGAAAAGTTCTCGATCTAGAGATGCTGAAAAAAAGAAAAGAAGGCAATATTTGCACAATATTAATAATAATATATAATAAATTAAGTGTAAGTTGGGTAACTTAAAATTTGATCCAAGTAACTCGCTGCTCCTCCCTGTATACTATTAGTTTGCAATCTTCTACCGTAACAGTTTGATTCATTATTCCATGAGCTGGCAACGCCAAGCCACATTATAAACCAATGCTATAGACAGGTAAGTTAATATGAGCTCGATTTAATCTTACCCATCAAATTGGCATAAATGCATATATACACTAAAGACAACGTCATAGACGACCAAGAAATAATGGTATCCTTCGATGTCACAGCCCAATATACTACGATCGGACAGAAGCCAACAAAATGAAACCATGGAACAATAACTCATTAATACTCAATTTAACTGATTAAAAATGCCCATTAAAATTTTCAAAAGAATGAACAAAGAATACTGTTTTCGATAACTTCATCATCAGGCTCTACAGTTATGTGTATACATTATAGTGAATGAATGAATTAGTCTTATGAACAACATTAATGCTGTTTTAATAACATCAAATCAATAATATTGATAGATCACAGCTCAGTAGCATCAACATGAAATAAGCTGAATGTCAGAAAAAATTGGGAAAGATAATATTACAAATTCATGAATTTACAGTCTCTACTGAAGACCAGTGCAGTAGTAGAGGCTGGACTTGCTTCTTTTGAACACAAAGCACTGGTTGTTTGAGGCGAATAGCAATAGCCTCTGTTGTTTGGAGCATGCGGTGCTTCGATGATTTTGGAAATTTACTAGACACCCGGTAGATTATAGAGAAGGATTCCACGCTGGCTTGGTGGCCGGTTTGCGCCAGATGGTCCAATATCGAACTGTTAACGGTTTTCACCACACCTTTACTTAGCCATAGTGGGACATGTTCTCGAGAGAGCACGAAAAATCAAGTTCCTAGAGCAATGGCCAATATAACTCGCTCCACCAAAAGCGCTGTTGAATTGGTCGATAAGATTAGAAGTACCTAGCTAGTCTATGTACTTCATCTTTCAGTCGAGGTAGCACCATCAGTTGTGTAGAGAATAAGACGTGTAGTACTCAATTTGGATGTGATGCACAAACCTGTGTCTAACAACGTTCCTTTCATTTGAACAAAGCAAGAACAACAGTGTGGATTGTGCAGAATAATATGGTGCCGTCAGTGCTTATTTCGTTGGCTTCTCATTAGCACAGCTGCTTACAGCCTAAATAAATTATATTGCTAAGTTAATGAACAGAAAAAAGTTTTAACAAACTTGAAAATTTTACATGTTGTCAATTGACAGGAGGTTATGAACTTAGTGAACAGTGCTCAAAAAATTGCGCTTCTATAGGTTTTACATAGGGAGTTCAACTTTAAACAAAGTAAATGTTGAACTCACCACATTGTCACCCAATTTATCAGTATACTCATCATTATACGTACCTCTCGTCTTTAATACGTAACTCCTCTACCATTGTATACATACGCTTACTTTAAAACAATTAGTCCCTATTATAAATTTGGATAGTGTTATTAGAAGACGGAGATTATCTGAAAACCGATGTGATGGGACATATTTGCGCTATACATTTCGAACAATCTAATCGCACATTTACTTGTCAAGTCGATATATATATGAAAAAGTTAAATTAAACAAAGTGACAAAAAAAAGATTTAAGAATGATTAACACAACGTTTGGCAATCCAATCAAATAAGGATTACCAAGGTAGGTGGGTTAAAAGTACAAATAAACTAAATTTACCAAGGAAGGTTTAATGTGATGACGAATTGTTTTTGAACGCATAAAGGTGGCTTAAACTAATGTACTTGCGCAACCCATTTCGAACAATCTGATCACACACGGACTTGTCATAGGAATAAATATGAAATTAATAAAGAGGTAAGAGGTGAGAAAATAGACTACTTAGGTCAAGTTTAAAGGACATATTCAAGGTCAAAGTAACAGTGAAGACCACTAAACCAAATAACAGAGGTAATAGTACCTCTGCTATGGTATCAAAAGGAAATTAACCATCTGTGCTATAGACGAAGTTGATAGTCTGCGTCTATTGATTTTCCACAATTCATTTGTTTTTCCGACCATTTCGGGATATGCTCTCTCAACCTCACATGCAAAGCATGATTACTCCTCCCTATGTGTATGTGGTCGGTCGGTCGGTTTTCGACATAGAACTTTGCACATATGTGCGGCAGTTCAAGTCGCCACAATCTATGTAGCACGCAAAGCAAGAGAAGGAAGTAGAAGAAATGCATAATGGAAACAGTAAACAGAGGTGTGAGACAAAGGAATAGTAATAACGAAGAACAAAACAGTTTAATTGGAAATCATAAGTCACAAGGAGTGGATGCATCTGCGCCACTCAGAACGATTTTGAGCCATGTCACCAATTGTTTCCAACCATTGGTTTTTACCGTCCCGGGGACCCCAACCAGGAAGTCTACACCTTCCTACGTGGCTTAGATTAACTGTTGTAGATTTCATTGATTGGTGCCATGTTTTCGTTTGACCGCCGCTAGCTCTTTTCCAGCCTGGCCCTATATCAGCTAACATTGCCCGTCGAGGAAGGCGATGACTAGGCATACGTAGCACATGTCCTAACCATCTCAGTCGAAGTAATTTCACCGTTTCGTCGATTGATTTCCCCGCCTTACCTAGCACTCGACGCCTAACCTCAATATTGCTCACCTTATCATACCACTTCGCGCGGGAGATAGAACGCAGACACCTATGATCGAAGACAGCTAATCTTTTCATGTCTTCTGCTCTCAATGGCCAGGTCTCACAGCCATAAAGGAGGACGGAGCGGACTGCTGAGCTGTACACACGCCCTTTGGTCGATAGTCGGATGTCACGTCTACGCCAGAGACGGCGTAAACTGGCATATGTGAAACTAGCCCTCTGTATTCGTACTGAGATTTCGTCGGCGATCAACCCGTTGGGGCTGATGGTACTTCCCAAGTAATTGAAGCGGTCAACGTGTTCTACCACTTCACTTCCTATTTCTAATCTAGGGGTCGATGAGGTCCAATCCTGCAGCATCATCTTACATTTTACAGGGGCGAATCGCATGCCAAACATACGGAGATTGTTGCTCAGGGTGTTCAGTAGACTCTGCATTTTGTCAGAGTCCTCGCCTAGAAGGACTATATCGTCCGCATATACTAAGTCAACGAGATTCTTCCCTGGTAGCAAGTCAATCCCTGAGTCGCTGAAGTGAGTTAGGGTTAAGTCCATTAGTACATCTATGATGAAATTGAATAGGAATGGGGATAATGGGCATCCTTGACGGACGCCACTAGTCGTCACCACTTCAGATGACAACTCGCCATAAGCCCTCACCTGGCTGCATGAGTACGAGTAGAGTGCCTTAATCAGTGCAATGTATTTTCTTGGCATTCCCTTTACAGCCAAGCATCGCCAGAGAACCTCCCGGTCGACAGAATCGAAAGCCGCCTTTAGGTCAAGAAATATAATGATTGTCGGACGCCGGTAGGAATGCCTATGTTCTAGAATCTGTCGAAGGGTGAAGATGTGATCAATACACCCTCTACCTGGCCTAAAACCTGCCTGGTTTTCTCGTGTTTGTGTCTCCCGAGCACCACTTAGTCTACGCAGTATTATTGAGCCTAGGATTTTAGATACTATATTAGTCAAGCTAATGCCTCTGTGATTATCACAAGAAGACTTGTCTCCCTTCTTGTATATCGGGATGATCAGTGACTTACACCAACCCGATGGGACTTCCTCTGATTCCCAGACGCTGCCTAGAACCTCCGTTAACGCAGACAGTAAACTGTCTCCTCCGTACTTAAATACCTCTGGAGTCAATAAATCAGGTCCCGCTGCTTTGCCTAGCTTCAGATTGTTGACAGCTTTAGTAACCTCAGTTAAGGACGGAGGACCTGTGTCTACATCCCATTCAGGGAGGTGTTGGATGTCCGGCAGGTTAAGTGTGGCTGTGGGCCAATTAAACTGCTCCTCATAGTGTTCTTTCCAGCGCTCCAGACGTCTATCCTGGGAGCTAATTATGGTGCCATTTTTCTCGGAGATTGTTTCGCTTATCATTTGCCTTTTACCACCTGTTTCCCTGATAAGCCTGAATAGTTGTCTGGTGTTGCCTATCGCCGATGCTTTTTCCATCTCTTTCGCCTTTGTCAACCACCACTGTTCACGGTCCTTGCGGAGACTTTTCGTAAGTTTCTTTTTGTGCGGCTTTCGCTCCTCATTGAATTCGGAGCTCGCCGGTATAAGTCTTCTAGCATCTATCAGTTCGGATGAGGCAGTCGAAATCCAATGGTTTTTACTCACCTTTGGATTTACCTTATTCACAGCTTTTACAGCTGTATCTATGGCTGACTGAATATTTTTCCAGGCTTCTTCAGGGTGAGCGCAGCTGTCGAACTCAGATATGTGTTTAGCTAGTTCTTCCTCAAATAGGGACTTAGTTCCCTGGTCGAGCTGGGGACGTGATGGGTTTACCGCCAGCTGTTTCCTACGTCCGTTCAGTCGTAAGCACATACGAGCGCGGACCAGTGCATGATCGGTATCTACACACGTGTTCCAGAAGGAGCGACAATCTCCTACCGACCCACGCCAACGATAGCTTATTGCTATGTGATCTATTTGTGTCCAGCTATGTGTATGTGACCACACACACACACGAAAATTGGTAAATAGTGTGGGATGTGACATAATCACTTGTGGACTTTTGAGGTTTGCAGTCGGGCATATTTCCGGATTTTTCAACAATTACAAGTCGGGCTGCATAATAGGTCAAGGGTACTTATTGAAATACGCTCAGGCTTTAGTTATTCATAAACTTAAGCCCCTCCCCCTGTGTATTCAAAAACAGTTTATTATTGCTCTTAACCCACCTACCTTGGTAATCATTATTTGATTGGATTACCAAACGTTGTGTTAATTATTCTTAAATCCTTTTTTTTCTCTCATTTTGTTTAATTTAACTGCCCTTAGTATTTTCATTTATATCGACTTGACAAGTAAATGTGTGATCAGATTGTTCGAAATGTATAGCGCAAATATGTCCCATCACATCGGTTTTCAGATAATCTCCGTCTTCTAATAACACTATCCAAATTTATAAAAGGGACTAATTGTTTTAAAGTAAGCGTATGAATACAATGGTAACGCAGTTACGTATTAAAGACGAGAGGTACGTAAAATGACGAGTAACTAATAAATTAGGTAACTCAAATCATCGAAACAAGAGACAAACCAAATTACATTATATCAGAGGGGGGAGGTGAGGTTAAAACTTTTTTGAACGTAAACTTAGGCTATGAGAAGATGATGAGAAGCCAACGAAATAAGCAATGATGGTACCATATTATTCTGTAAAAACTGTTGTTCTTGCTTTATTCTAACTAATAGATGTTAGTGACAATATATCTAAGTTTTGAAGGAAGGGTGAAAATTACGCAATTGCTTAATTACGGAATTCAAGATAAGTTAATTCGTAGGGGTTAGCAACAAGTCATTACATAATCAAGGAATTTGTAAGATAATGACGACTCGGTAGAATTACGTAAAATACACACAAGCTGATAGAATTAGCTAGAATTGTAAATAAGATAAGGTGTTCAGAAATTCGATGGTGAACTTGAGTAATCATACGCTCAATGTAAATAGCTCCGCGCGAGCAGTTAAACTGGTAAATACACATGGAAGAGGCGAAACAGGGCAGTTTGTCTTTATTTGTTGAACTAAGGACAGGTTGACTAATGAACATACAGCATAACTTAGCTGCATAAAAGTCCTTTTGAAGATCCTTCTACCGTTAGTCTTACTCTAAATTTAACCCCGACAGTACTGACTGACTAACTGTATCGCCCTAACTACCATGAAATTGAATGTGTGGGGGACACTTATAGTCAAAACCCGCCAATCTTTTTATATCCTCTTTCTTCAACCGCCATATGTCATGGCCGTGAATTAGGAGGGCGGGAACTGATGAACAGTACATACAGATTGGCTGGATATCACGTCTGTAATAAACAGGACATAGGTCGCAAATATCCAACCAGTATTATGTATCTGTGCTTAGATTTAATCAGCAACCGCACCATTCGGGCTGATGTAACTCTCGCTTTAGCGACCAATCCCGATATCGTCGACCCCACCACTACTTATTATCTTCTTGGGTTCTGAGTGCTGCATAGAGCTTCAACGGCATATCTCCATCTTCTCCTGTCGTCTTCTTCGGTTGGGTTCACGACTGCGCACCATCTCTCACTTCCTACTCATCATACGATCTCCTCTACATCACCTTTGATCGCCCTACTCGTCATTCCCCATTCAGATTTCGTTCGAATAATGGCCTGGAGCGTGATGTCACCTAACAGTTTCTTCAGAAAGTGTCCGACCCATCTCCATTTCCTTCAGGAGATTTGTTGAGCAATAGGTTCCTGGTTGATTTATTCTCAGAGCCTAGTGTTGGTGTTTATCCTTTTTGGTTGCTCATTTGATCGTCAGTATGGAGCCAGCGAAGCGGGCAGATGTTGATAAAAGTCTGCATCAGTCGGTCAGAAATGTTTTTCGTGTTGCACATTGCAAGTTTCTGACCCACACAAAAGAACTGACTTAACACTGGCATTAAGGATCCAAATCCTGCTTTTGGTGCTGAGTGCAGGAGATTTTAGAGCGATAAAAGTCTGCCTTGTCTTTCCAATTCTGACTGGTTTTGGACTTCCTCCTCATCTGTGCCAACTGCCTGTAGCTGAAACTGTGTTTGGCTAGATAAGTGAAAGAAGTGACCTCTTTGAAATCTCCTCCGTTAATAGCGATTGGTGTCGATTACTTATCTGCATTACCTCTGTTTTCTGTATATTTACTTGAAGTTCTGTATACACTACCTGATACTCTTCTGAAACCTTGTTGCTTTTCGTTTGTAGATCTTCGAGTTTCAGTGACATCAGACAGAAGCCGTCAGCAAAAGTCCAGATGTCCTAGAGTCTTCACGTCAGTCCAACTTATGCAGTCTTATTGCCCCTGCACACAGTTGTTATGTGATCCAGTCCATTACAATCATGGAATATCATCGGGGATAGTAGTCAGCCGCCTGGTCTTACTCCCGTCTGCATTTCAAAGGCTCCGCTGAGATTTCCATTGTAGAACTTTGCACAGAAGTGCACCAAGTTTAAGTTGCCATACTCTATGTAGTACACAGAAAAGTAGACAAACAAGAGAGAAACGAGATTCAAGAGGAAATTGCAGTGCGCTATAAATGTACAGAGAAGAGAATATTAACATGTAAAGCCATGATGATTTAGTGACCATAGAAGAGATCACAGAGACACTGAATACATCTCAGCTACTGAGAACGACTTTGAGCCATATCTATCACCACCAACAGTCTCTAGGTATCCCGCGGACCCGCAAGTAGACAGCCTACAAAGAATAGCAACAGACACAGGTTTTCCTGGATATAGTAAAATGGATTTCACATCATGAACTGATATCGGTTAGAGAACCATTGGAAAACAACCAGGGAGTATCACCAGACGGCTGTTTCTATTGTCCTAGTCTTGCGCTCTCTTGATCAGTACAACCCCATTCACCCACCAGGGTTCGAACTAAGGGCCTTCCAGTTACAATGTAAGGAAAGCTCGTAGACCACTCATTTACTGGGACTTGATCCAATCGCCAGCTCATGAATTCTAACCTCTACCAATTCGGGATTAATTTTGCGCGACTGGTAACTAACCAATGTCATTGCTGGCGAGTGAGTATTTGTCCTCAAACCCGACTAGCTAGTTCTCCAACCGATGTCAGATCACGATGAAATCCTGTAACCAATCAAATCCCTGCAAACCAATACTTGCATATAGTTTTCAAAAATATTGAACAAGCAGAAAAGAGAGGTTATCCTTACTATATAAATCCACAGGAAGGCTTGGTGAACGAGCGATCAATATGGACAAAAATCGTAATCTTAAAGCAAGTTGTGGAATTTCTAAAATTACAAAAAAAATATGTAAAAAGAACGAAATTAAAGTACAGAAATAATACAAAGATTTTTATGTAAACTTTGTATTATAAGTATAAAACGTGGGCACTGTGGTGGTACAGTATAACTCCACTATGGATTAAACTTCATTTTGATAAAATCACACAGTGTTGTTATACAGTAATATTTACTGATGGCAATGTGTCAAGCACAAATTATTGCTGCTCATAATTATATCAAGTCACTACTCACACAACTTTTTCTTGCTTTAGTTATATACATGAGTAAAATTGATTATAGCAAAAATATTCATTCAGACATCTATAAAACACAAAATAATCGAGCAAAGAATATTCTTTTCGATAAATTCCTCTTCCAGGCTCTGCAATTATATATATATATATATGTTTATATACACAGAATATTTTAAATTAATAGTTAATAACAATATTAGCGTTTTTTTAAATAATATCGATTTGTAAAGTTAATTTTTTAAGGGATGGGGTTGCTGCTGGCCTCATGCTCAACCTTTTCTCTTTATCAGACTTATTACTGTCTTAGCGAGGTAAGGGAGGAGTGCATCGGTCGGGGATCGAGCCCCGCACCACATATGTGTGGTTGGCGAGTACTCTACCGCTGTGCCACCGACACAGTCACAAGTTGATTACATCAATAAACACATACTGTTCTTTTTTTATTTCGTTGTATACTCTGAGAGAAGCTGGTTGATTTAATTGTGAGGCTTTTGCTACCCCTCTTCTAGACAACATCGTCTCAACACAGATTGCAGTATGAAATGAACTCATTTGAATTCTCCCTGCATGAATGAATGACAATATAATTGTATCTCCTGACAACAACCATTGTCGTGATTATTAACTGTTAATTTACATGTCTGTCTATTGATCATTTATTTCCATTGACTTAGAATTTGAACTTTCTTGTCAATGTGTGAAAAGGGGCACACGATACGTATTCCTGTTTCATATCGATGCATGTAGATAATTATGGACACGAATTGCGATTGGGATAATGAAGGAAATTTAAACAGAGGAAAGACACGAAAAATGCAGTCTGGGAATTTCTAGAAGCCTGGTCGGTACTCAGATGAGTCAGCGATTAACAAACAAACAAATAAACACGTTTACTACAGCGAAAATATTTATTCAGACATCTGTAAAACACAAAATGATTGAGCAAAGAATATCCTTTTCAACAATCTCCTATTCTGGCTCTACAATCATATATATATGCTCATATACATAAAATATTCTAGAATAGCAGTCAATAACAATATTGGTGTGTCTTTTAAATACCATCGATTTTTAAAGTAAGATCACAATGGAAATATCACAGTTCGTTAAAGATGCTTAAATTATAATAATAACAATAAAAATATAATGGCAAATAGAATATCAACTAAATTTAAACAAATCTCTACAATGACAAATTAAGGACCATTCGAACCTAGATGACTAGGGTAGGGACAGTGTCTGAACTAGCTTCCCTTGGACACATAAATAAGGCTTGTTAATGTGGATCCCAACGGCCAGCCTCAGCAACATTTAGTAAACGAACTCTTCAGGCGAAGTTAAGATATGTTAGTATGCGGTAAATTACTTTGGGCACCGCCTCATTGACATCAATCTTGTGTTCTGTATCCACAAGATGATAGAATAGCGCTACGAATAGATTTTGTTTGTCCTTTACTTAACCAACCATGCAGGGTGATGTTCGGAAATCCGACGAGACACACGCCTAATTGTACAACTTATGTAACTGGCTCAATAGCAGTTCAACACAATCTGTAAGCATGATAATATGCATTAACATAACATAACACTATACCAGATAGTTGGAGGCAATCGGCAGGAAGCCTTGGACCTAGGTTTCGTGCTACAGCCCTACAGGAGGTCAATCGCAAGCCCGAATAGCTCAGTGGTAACGTCTCTGACTTCAGGTGGCACACTGGGTGACGCGGGTTCGAATCTCAGAAGGGACATGAGTTCCTTCAAGGTTATAGATACGCCTTGCTGACGAGTGACAACTGGCACGAAACCTAGGTCCAAGCCTTCCAGTCGATTGCCTCCAACTATCTAATATCATCAAATCAATGAGCACCATGATGGTGAGCTACCTAGAATGGTTGCCACATTGCAAACCTGACTGATAGAATTCAGTCTGCACCAAGGAAAGGACTAGACACGTCACACTAGTTACTAGTGTCCAATGAAAATAACACTGAAATCGGAATATCATAGAAATTGGTAATGATAGTAATACAGAATTGGAGATGATGGTTAGGAGATTATGGGAAATACGTGTCCAGCTAATGAGGACAGTGGAAAATAGAACAAAGTGTAGATATGCTGTTGAAGCCCTATGTTCCACTGGAAACCCAAGACGAAACACTATTGAGAATTATAATTTAAGGTAAAAAAACAAAAGAAAGCAAAAGAAGAAAAGTACAATCAATAGAACTGCTTACCCTGTTGTGTTGTGCATCGTATTTCTCGAATGAGTTCATTAGGAAGAACTGATTCAAGACAGATATGAATACAAGCAGAATCTAAAGAACAACATATTCCAATACATCTGAGCAATTTAGCGCGTATTTCTTGATTTGTTTCACGTTGATATAAACCGATTAGAGCACGAACTGATCGGTATTCAGATACACGAAGATAGCAGATAACCAATTGATGATCAGATCTTTCCTAAAATAATTGTGATTAAATCATCAGGTAGGAATGAAAAAGTGGAACAGTATTTACGCATCAGTATATAGGAATTTATCTAAAAGTTATTTATTATAATCATGGTAAAGAGGGGAATGAAACGTGGGTTGTGAACATTTAATCTTAATTTGTACTGTTGGATCGCTGATGAACTTCTTAGTTATTTCTGCATTATAATCACTTCATTCCAAACAATAACAATTGTACAAAATGGACTATTCACAGTTTTTATACATATTGCAACAATTTAACTCCTTTGATAAATATGTAAGATACGTAAATCTTAAAATACTACTAATAATAATAATATGAATAATGAAGACACTATAAACAGAAACATTATTATCATAATATTATTATTCCCTTAGGTTCCAAATGGAACATAAAGCTTCAACGACACATCTCCACTTTGCTGTATTTTCTACTCTCCTCCTCACTACACGATCTCCTCCGTGTCACCCTCGTACCGACGACCCACGCGTCACTTCTCATTGGGATTCCACTCGGACAATACCCTGGCTAGCGCGCGATGTCACCCGACGACCTCCTCGAAGTATGACCGATCCGTCTCCATTCCCTCCTACATATTTACTGAGCAATCGGCTCTTGGCTGGTTTGTTCACAGCCAGAGTTTCTTGCTGCTAATTCTTTCCGGTGGTCTGCCCATATGATCTTCAGTATGGAGCCAGCGAAGGTAGCTGTTGATAAAAGTCTGCGACAGCGTGTTGAAAATGCTTTTTGTGATATGCTGGCCGAGTTCCTGACCCGTATAGAAGGACCGACTTGACATTGGTGTTAAAAATCCAAATCTTGATCCTTATGCTGAGTAAAAGCAGAAAATTTCCAAACTGGCTTCAGGTTGATGAGGGAACATTTTGCCTTTCCGACTCTGGCCAGCTTTGACATGTTCATCCGTTCCCTTCCGCCTGTGGTTGAAACTGTGCTTCCTGGCCAGATAAGTGAAGGAAGTAACCTCTTTCAAATTATTTTCGTTGATGGTGATTGGTGCTGCTTGTTATCACTGATGCTTTTGGTCGACTGGTTGTATTCATCACCTCTGTCTTCTCTGTGTTCACCTGGAGTCCTGTCTTCTGGTGGGAATATATTAAAGTATAAGCAGATAGTATCATAGATAACACATGCAATAATCATCATCGCTGTACGTTGCAGTTCAGTTACTGATTTAACTTCTCTTCTGACATTTTGCATAAAATTCAATTTTGATAAAATTACAGTGTTGTTACTGATGACCACGTCCCGAGCACAATTTATTACTACTCATAATCATATCAAGGCACAACTCACATAACTTTTTTTTGACATCTGACATCTAACTCTTCACACAAAACCCGTGCTAAAAGTGGTGTGATGGTAGAACTTTATATTGACTACCTGCACGAGTATAAATTCTTATGAAATTTCTTCTGGTTTTACCCCCCTTGAAGATATACAAGGAAAAGATTGAGAATACTAAAGAGGATCTTCAGTGTCAGACAAGACAACTTTAGCCAACTGCTTGCAGCAATTGAAGTGCCTATTGACAATAATGTCAGTTAGGCACACTACTAACCCTGTCTACCTGCAGCCTTCAGTGTTCTACATAACATGACATAGTCCTTTTTGAGAAGTCTAGAGAAGAATAGGGCCGAGCAATAAATAAGAATAGGCAGAATTATTATAATATTATTATTTCCTTTAATTCCTAGAGGAACATAGGGCTTTAGCTGCACGTCTCCATTGCGTTCGGTTATCTGCTAAAGTTTTCACCTGGCTCCCAGTCTGCCCACATGCTTTCATCTCCTCTCCACATGACCTCCTCCAAGTCACCCTTGCACTGACGACCAACTCGCCGCCTTCCTTTCCGGTTCCACTCGAGGGCTTGTCTAGTGATGTCACTTGATGGTTTCCTTAGAGTATGGCCAATCCATCTCCTTTTCTTCCTGCTTATTGGTTGCACAATCGGTTCTTGGTTGGTTCGCTCCCAGAGATCTCTGTTGATGATCTTTTCTGGCCATCTGATCTTGAGTACTGCGCAGAATATATGAATTAATTAATTGTAAAAGAAGAGGTTGAACTATGTCAGAAAGTATCAATTTCCTATATCAAACGAAAACTCTTCTTAGATATCAACAACCAACAGAGATTCGAAGAGAAACGGATGCTGAGATAAGAATCTATTCATCATATAAGAAAAATAGAATGTAAGAACTACTGGGACAGAAATGGTTAGATCGTCAGCATATTTATTAATGAAATTAGCTTTGGAAAAGTGTGGAAGGTAAACTAGATGCTGTTAAAACAACTTTTTTCAAACGAACAACAAAAATGAGTACTTACCAGTAAGGTTATCAATTCATTCAACCGTTCAAGAATATCATATTGATCATCATGTAACCGCCAATTACATTCTTGATCGTTACTTTGACGTGATTCAAAGAAACGAAATTTAATGTTAAGTAAACACCAATCTGGACTTTGTGAGTACTCCTCTTCTGTTTTTTCTACATCAGTTGACTGGAAACCAAAATTCAGAGTAAATATTATGATGATAATAATAATAGTAATAATAATAATAATTTGCTTTATTCTAATACAGTACCTGCGATACAGGTCTGTCTGTTTTCAACATAGAACTTTGCACAGATGTGCAGCAGTTCAAGTCGTCACACTCCCTCCATGTAGCACACAAAACAAGAGAAGAAAGTGAAAGGGAATGCAAAATAGAGACAGTAAACAGAGATACGAGGCAAAAAGAATAGTAATAACGAAGAACAATACAGTTTTATTGGGTATTATATGTAATAAGGAGTCGATGCATCTGCGCTGTCATCGAGCCATATCACCGACTATTTCCAGTTATTGGTGTTAACCGTCCCGAGGGCCCCAACCAGTCAGGAAGTCTACACCTTCCGACGTGGCTAGCTGGTTTAAACTAACTGCTGTGGATTTCATTGACTGATTAAGCCACGTTTTCGTTTGACCACCGCTTTCTCTTTCCCAACCTGATCCTATGTCAGCTAACAATGCCCATCGATCAAGGAAGGCGATGGCTCGGTGTGCATGCGTAACATATGTCCTAACCATCTCAGTCGATGTAGCTTCACAGCCTCGTCGACTGATTTCCCCTCCTTACCTAGCACTCAACGGATACCTTACCTCAATATCGCTCACTCTATTATACCAACACTTCACACGGGAGATAGAATAGTGGCACACTACTTCTAAAAACTTATAATACCCTTCGAAATATGACATAATCCTTTTTTCAGTAGCCCAGGAAAGACTATGGATGAGTAATCAAGAACAATAGGTATAAGATGCAAGAGTTAGTAGAGTGTACATATAGAGGTTGAGTGATAACCTACCTGATAGCCTTAACTTCTTAATGTAGAAAGTCAAACGGCATATTTTCTTATAAATCAACAAAGTATGGGATGGCCACGAAAGATAAGAGGATAGAACTATTCCAACGTATATTCTGTGTTTGACTTAGTTTCTATTTCAATGCCCTTTATGCTACAAGCATCTTGTGAACAAACAAGTTCGTGTAGAGCACGTTTATGCATACCTGAGAGTGAAGTTAACTGTTTAACATTTAGAGGGATTTAAAGTAAGATTATTTAGCTTGGACCACTGGCTTATATCCAATCAAAGGCTATTCACTTTGGAACAGTCAGATCACAATGTATCAGGCGACGAGACAGTCAGATCATCAGCGTATTTAACGACGTTGATTTCTTCCGAGAGGCAAGTCACGTAAGAAAGTAAAAAGAAGGGGGGAGAGAGAGAGACAGAAGTATTTTTTACGAATAAGTGATGCATTATTATTATTGGTACACCACACAAAATCGCATATTCTCTGAGGGCTAGTCTACTGCCTTAACAACCGGACTGAAGCAGGTAGTTGTCTCAAGGGGTTATTCCCACTGGAGTCTGACCCACGGGGGAACTGGAGCAGAGTTAGAAGCTATATTCTCATGATCTCCAGAAACCGAACCAGGTTTGTACGACATACAATCCGTTCGGATTCTGGAGCCCATGTATGTTATAGCTTTGGAGTCAGGGTTTTCCAACACCACCACCCCCCAACTTGGTAGACCTACCTGTATTCCTACCAGTTCAGTTTTAAGAGTCAAACATTCGCATTCACCCCTTCACTTTTGTGAAGAACATCCCCCCTCCCTGAATGGAGGCAATGGGTAGAACTTGCCTGACAGAGGCTATGTACGCGTTGAGAAGACCAAAGTCTACCTACCATCAGCCATACACCTGGTTGTTTATAGGGGCAAAATGATACATTTCAATAGCAACCATCCAACGTCAACATGCATGTCGTCACAGAGATTGGATAAGACCGACGATAGGTACTACAGGAGTGTGTTGTAGATAATGAATGGGGGGCATTTTAATTGTGGGTGGGGGGGGGCTAATGTCAAGTGACGATATTTAAGAGATAACAATCATACTGAGATGTACAAATAAGCAACTGAATACATATACTGAAGGTTACCAGCCCTGATTAGGTAATCTGGTGGACAATGCTACACAGTTAATTGGCTATCAATTATTTCAGTACAGGAAACAAGAAGCTAAAATAAAGTAGGATGTTCCATATTAGTTTGTTTACAGTAGTATTTACTGGATGACAAGGTTTCGAAAAAAGCAGAATGTGAACAAACTCAATTATAACTGATCTCCGACAAACTAACTGGCTGATTTCAACAGAGAACTCTGCACAGAAGTGAAGCAGTTCGAGTTTACACACTCCATGCTGCAGACAAAAGTAGAAAAGCGGTGGAAAAGGAGGTTCAAAAGAACGACAATAAACAGAAACGTGAGGGAGAAAGAATAGCAACGTGGAAAAAAAAACCGTAGGGTTCAATGGATATAGCATAGCACAAAGATTGAATGCATCATCTGCGCCATCATTGATAACGATTTCGAAGTGTATCAGTAGTTGTTCCCAGTCATGTGCAGAAGTTCAAGTCGCCACACTCCATGTACCACACAAAGCAAGTGAAGGAAGTAGGAGAAATGCATACTATAGACAGTAAACAGAGGTGTGAGACAAAGGTATAGTAATAACGAAGAACAAAAGTTTCATTGGAAATCATAAGTCACAAGGAGTGGATGCATCTGCGACAGCCACTGAGAACGATTTTGAGCCATGTCACCAATTGTTTCCAACCATTGGTTTTTACCGTCCCGAGGACCGCAACCAGGAAGTCTACACCTTCCTACGTGGCTTAGACTAACTGCTGTAGATTTCATTGACTGGTGCCATGTTTTCGTTTGACCACCGCTAGCTCTTTTCCAACCTAACCCTATGTCAACTAACATTGCCCATCGGTCGAGGAAGGCGATGACTGGGCATACGTAACACATGTCCTAACCATCTCAATCGATGTAACTTCACAACCTCGTCGATTGGTATCCCCTTCTTAAGTAGCACTTGACGGATGCTTAACCTCAATATTATTCACCACCACTTAACACGTTGGTTAGAACGCAGGCACCTATGATTAGAGACAGCTAGCCAACCAAGCTTTTCATGTCTTCCAATTTCAATGGCCAGGTCTCACACCCAGTCATAAAGGAGAACGGAGCGGACCGCTGAGTAGTACACACGCCCTTTGGTCGATAGCCAGCCGGATATCACTTCTATTCCTGAGATGGCGTAAACCGGCAAATGTCACACGAACCTTCTGTATGTGTGCCCGAGATCGCAGTCAAAATAAAAGAGGGAAACTAAAGGAGCATGTTGTTTTATTCTACTGCCACATATGACATCACTGAAAAGATATCAAAGGTTTCACTCACGATGAATACTTTCATACACGCGTTGCTAACGCACCAAAGTTTCAAAAATCAAGTAACCATTCCAAATTTCCACATTAGTACATGTTCATCTGCGGTTTAATGACAGGCTACCTGCCAGCCATGCGTAAGGTTCAGGTTCAACTCCTAGCCCACGCAATCCTCAACCTTACCCCGGAAGGAAAGAAGACTGGATGTGAGGCTAACAACCCTACTCTTAAAAAACCAACACCAAAGCAACTGAAACTTTAAAGTTTGAAACTTGATGTTCAACTCAGAACGCAAAGAATAAAGAAAGCGTAAACACACACAGGAGATGAGCAAATATTAGTGACCATATTACCTTCCTTATTAGTTTGTTTATTAGATGTATCACACAGTGAAACAGTATTATTTACTGGATGACAAGGTTTCGAACAAAATTTATTGTTCATAATCATAGCAATTGTAATCACACGACATCGAAATTTGAGTATTATAGTTTTCTTTGTCTTCTCCTATTTGTCGTCGCAGGGGTAGTAGAATTTCCCAGATGTCCAGCTAGACAGGAGTTCAGTCATTCCTATTACACGTATTCTCAGCCAGTTGATTCGATAAACAAAGCTTCTGTTATCAATCTCCCCTTTTACTCTACTGTGACATTAGATTTTAAAACTGTCATCCTATCCCATCCTATTGTATGGTTGTGTGTAACTGCATGTAGTGAGTGCTATAGCTGAACTATTCTCTAGATTTCTTATCTTATTCGGGCCAACCAATCTAGATTTTCCTAGGTTTTTATGCCCGGCTAGTCTGTCTGCCCCTGTTCTACTAATCTGACCTGACAATCATTGCATGTAGGGTATTAGATGGACTAAATTGTTTTGTTTTAAAGGATCCACAGGATTGATGCTTTAACCGACAAAGCTTGTTTCTAATTGAGTTTGTGGGTCTGAATACCAGCCACTTTTATTCCTGCCTTGTTAAGAATTCTCCTCTTTAAGGTGGTTTCCGAGGTTCCTTCCTTGTATGGAATTACTACTGATGATTTAGATTCCTTATTGTTGGTGTTGTCTTGCACATATTTGACATGCATGTCGTCATTATTCTTCTTCTCATCATTATTATTATTACTATTATTATTATCGTTATTATCACTATCACTTTGTTCGAAACGTCATGAAGTAAATAATACTGTTTTACTGTGTGATACGTCTAATAAACAAACTAATATGGAATTACTTAATACCACAGTGCCCAAGTTTTACACATATATTAACCATATTACCTTCTTATCGGCTTGGAGATTTTCTTTCAAACCTGGTATTACACAGGATAGCATACCCATCAATGCTGAATACACAAATCCACAATCTGAATAAGAACAATTTGTTGCTAGTCTTATTGTGTCCAGTAGGCGGTATTCGAAATTCTTTGGCAAAATAATATTTCCTTCAGACTTGGCTACTATTAAGGGAAAAACAAAACCAGAAAAAAAGTAAAATAATCTTTAACATTATTTGTTCTTATAGCAATAAATATGTCGCTCTATCGGATATACAATATAAAAGTATGCAATGATAATGAATCATCAATACGATAAGGATCGTTGTATCTAGGAGCCCATAAAGAGTGAATGCATTCGCGTCAGAGAAAACGATTTTGTGCCATGTAACCAACAGTCTCCAACCTTTGTTTCTTGGCGTCTCTAGAACCCCAGCCAGGCAGACAACACCTTCCTGCGTTGTTCAATCCAACAGTCACACAAGCAGATGCACACTACTTGGCTACCGCGAATCTGTTGAAGGGGTAAATATAATCAATTCACCTGCCAGGTGTTTACTTGCTCATTTCTCCAATGCACCATTTGGTCTACGTATGAGATTATCTAGCCTAGAATCTTAGATACTACGACAGTCAAGAGAACCGCCATATGATTACCACAGGAAGAATTACCTCCATTCTTATAAACTTGGATGATCAAGGATTTACACCAGTCCAATGTGACTATCTCAGCTCCCCACACATCACTTAATATCTTACTTAACCCAGTCAGCGGTTCGTCGGCACTACCACTAAACACCTCTGCAGTCATGCCACGAGGTGCCAACAATTTGCTTAGTCTCAGAATAGAGGTACCTTCTACAAACTCATTACAGTTGGAGGACCAAAGTCCCATTGAGGTCATTGCTAGGTGTTGGGCTGTAAGCCCGTTACACTACTCCTCAAAGTTACCTCCAATGTTGGTCTCTTTTCCTGAGAAATAATCAGAGAATCCGCTAATCGGAGAATGTATGGCTTATTAGGTGTCTTTTACAAGCAGATTCCCTAGAGCACCTAAATAGTTGTCTGGTGTCACCTACCACCGATGGTCTTTCCATCTCTTTGACGTTGGTAACTAATCACTATTCCGGGTTGTCGCAAAGAACTTTATTCAGCTTCTATTTGGATAAATCTTGCTCTTCGTCACGTTTGGAACTTCAGACGACTCTGAAACAGCCAATCAGATTCTTCTAGGTGAGAAGTACTAGATTTACAAAGTGTATCTACGGTATACATGTGATAAAAAGGGTATATATCTCTAATATGTCGCAAAAACTGGCTCCAGATTCTCATAGAAGTGGTTATAGACATATCACCTTATAAAGACTTCCTCACATTAAGTGGTTGCATTCGAATGTGTAACCGTCAGTAACCCGTCAATACTTCTTCAACATCATTATCCCTCCACATACGTGTTTTCTTTCTCCCTACCGACCCATTTTCCACAGAGAAGTCAAAAACCAAATCTAAGAGATATTTTCAACGAGGATTATGACAAACAACCATCTGTTATGCTGAGCTATCTGATTGGTCGAATCAGGGTCATTTGACTTTGGTGTCTACTGTTTACTCTTGCCGGAGATAGTCTTCTTGTTTCAAGAAATCCGACCCTCATGCACAATAGTTGTATTGCATTGTTTCTTAATATGCTGCTTATTTAGCCTTACAGCACTCGCACTACTCACTATTCTACATTTTTGTGGTGAATTCCGGTTTTGAAGTAAATCCTTATGAGCTCTGAAACTGAAGTTTGCCTGAAAACGTCAAAATGTCATCAGTTTATGCTAGAAGATATTTAAAAAAACTCACTTGCCGCTTGAGTTATACGTTGTTTAGGATCAGTTATCCTTAGCTCAGAAAAGTTTCCAGGTGGTTTCACATCACCAGGTGTATCCAAGTCTTTTTCTCCTTTTATCTGCAACAAACGTCTGGGGATTATGAAATCACAACTAGAAACAATAGTACTCAAGCAAATCCTCCTTCCCCCCAACAATTTCTACCGTTCTATCAGTCAAGTTAGCTAATGCTCTTTTAGCAAAGTCAACTTTGATGTTTTGATCCTCAGTCTGACATATCAATGTTACATGCAAATATAAAGTACCTCGTATTTTTCGACGAAATTTGATGGGACGCAACCTAAAGTCCCATCTGTCTTACACACCAAACGCCAGTCTTGATTTACTTCACGAATATCTAAGAAAATCTCATTCTTAGCGAACTTCAAAGTTCCTGGAAAAGGACCAGGGTAAGGGTATACCGCTCGCAACATTCTGAAAGTTGTGTAGGTCGCACAACATTAAGCATTAAAACAACCATGTGTCATAAGTAGACTTCCGACTTTTGAAGGATAGTTTCAAGTCACCTCATATTATTCTATGTATTTTATAGGGCCAGTCTTGTTTGGAATAGAATAAAAAATCTATTTTGTTGGTATTCTAAGAAAATTATTTTTGTTCGAAATTTCATGAATGTGATAAGCTTTTGAACTTTCTTCCAAAGTCAGATAAAATACATTAGTGTCAGTTGCACTGGCTCTAGTGAAATACCAAAGGAATGGCACTCACGCAAATGTGGCCCACCCTGAAAACAAGTGTTGTGGTTAAAAATTTCCTAAAAGCATTAGTCAACTTCATTCGGCATTGAGTGCCTACCTACACTGAATAAATGGAATAACCAAGTCGAAGCTACGTTGTGGGGAATCCGCGTTGCTTAACAATCTGTCGTGTTACATCTGGTCGTTCGTACATGAGCCCTAGCCACTGAGGTAATCATCACTTTACCTTTTTGATCCCTGAATTTATCTCGTAATCTGGATAGTCGTTTGGTTGTTTCTATTGGCCTCCGTTGTCAATAGAACGAGTACTTTGGAAGTTGGAGGATAAACACTTTTATCCGAATACTGCGTATCATTTGCAACCGTCTTTATCCACCATCTCATATATCACCGTATTACGCGGCAAATTCTATATTTATTTTAATATTCCGGATAAGAGCATTGTGAATGTTGAGGAGGCTAGCGAGTGTTTTCCTAAGGATGCGGAAATCTGACACACATTGAAAAGCATTACGTTCTTGAGGTAGGGTGACTGGGAGTAAACAGGATGGTATTACACCTTATGTTGGATATTCGATGAAAAAATTGGGATATAATTTTTAATCACACCTATGTAGAAAAGTCAGCCTCTTCTGATCCGACTTTCTCAGTTGTAACTGGTAGCAGGATCCTCTATTGTTCTCAGAAAATTAGGTCAGCTTAGTAGCATACTGGACAATAACAGTAACTGCCCTCTAGCTACTGATATCGGCCATTGCATGGGAGGATTCTAGTTGGTTCAATTAACTTTTCAAGATTGAGCTTCATGGACTGTGTTTCGGATGAATTTTATTTTCAAACGCATCTCAAGAAAGCTAATCGATCCACGTAGTCATCATTGGAGGATAAGTGGCCGTGGTATAACTCCTAGCATTATGGAACATTCACAAAGAAAAGTAATAATGGTGTAAATTTGTTGCTTCTGCTAAATCATGGGATTTTTCTGAGATAACCCTGCAAGTCTCGGTTCAACTTTTATTCTTATTCTCCCTGTACTGCCTCCAGATTCTACAGTGTTTTGGCCAAAAGTACTGTAGCTCAGAGGAGATGGGGAGGTACTACAACCTTTTATACTCCGGCGTTATGTATAAACAGCAACGATTAATCATCTTACCGGAATGAATCCAGTGGATGAATTCAGGTGAAGTTATTTCAACTGTATCCTGGGCAGATCACAAGTGGGTTGTGCAGGCAGTGTCTTAGGGCCACTCCCATTAACACTCAACGTTAACAGCATTTGTAACTGCTTCACCTCAGGTAAACCATTCCCATATGCTGACGAACTCAAAGTCGTTTATTCCTACAGCAGTCATGAATTAAGTAAAAGTAAATAAAATATATCTTGAACTAAGTAGTCTCGCAACACAGTGTGCTGAATCTTTTCTAAAGTTTAACGTCGACAAATGCGGCCTGATTTGTAGTGGCAACAGTAAAATTGAACTAACTCTTGAAGTAAACGAGCAAAAACTAGCCAAGCTCAACTCAGTCGTAGGTTTCGGTGTCATATAAATTAAATAAATAAATTTATTCTCATAGTACAGTACATGAGGGACGCCAGTTTACAGGCATCATCAAATTGTTACAGAAATAGAACCATATAATTCAATCACAATTTACAGGCAGTAGCAAGATATGCTTTACATGTTCGCTGGAGATTATACATACACTTGATAAATGTTAATCCCAGTAGTATAAAACAGCCTTTTCACTTATATACAATCACTTCTATGCAAAGTTGGAAGAATCTGCTAGATTGTCAGTGAGTGCAACACATCAGGAAATGCAGAAGTATTGTCTTCGCATTAACAAAAAACCAGGTCTTTGGTGGATGGATTATAAGTGCCTGGGAAGAAAATAAAGCTTGAAGTAAATATTCATACATAACTTTGTTGTGTGCAGAGTCCTCGAATTATAGTTCATTGATGTGTTATTTTGAAATCAGTGATGTGTTCATCTCATTTGATCTGCAATGTCATTGTTAGGAGTAAATACATAAGCTTCAGACGCATTAATTAATGGATTTCTACTGCTTGTGGGTATTTTCTTAGCGTTAGGAAGGTTTATGAGTTTCAGCTGTTCCGACAGGAGTTGAGAATATTAACTGCTCAGCAACATTATGGATATAAGTTCATCACATTATCTAAGGAAAGGTGGGTTGCAGTTGGTGAGGGATATATGGTGCCCAACGAGCGTTCATCTGTCCTTGTGATGTTGTGGTGAGTTATACCTTTTTCATGTCGTCGGTTTATGTCCATCTTATTCCACTTATTGTGTTGGGTAGTAGTTTTACAAACGAAATTTCTTGTCTGTTTGAGGATACATATCTTGACCGTTAATGTTTTATCTAGAATTATAAATATAGGCAAAAAACGACAGGTGTATTATTTAAGCTTATACATTAAATGGACCTATAATTTCGGAGGCTCTCAGATAGGAACTAGAACTACTATCGTTTGCAAACTCTTGTAGTTTGTCATTAAGCACCTTTTTGAAGGAGGCCAATGTACATCTTGCCCGGTACGTTTGAACCAGGTAACGCTTTTGCACGTGTTTTCGTTTATATTCATTTATTGCTTACTGTTGATTGATCTTTAATAACGATGGGCCGAAATTCTAAAAAGAGTGTTCGTGTGAACATCAGTAATTTAGAAAAAATACCACCTGCTCGTCTAATAACACATTACCACCCCTTATTATTAGTAGTTCACCCAACAGAAAAGACTCGAACATAACTCTGACCCCTGTAATACAGGTGGAAGATGTTCTGTCTGAAAAGGTAGAGCTCTCTTACTTGACATGCATTATTAAAGAGATGCAGCTACAGATAAATGAATTAAAAATGAAGTTAAGTTCATTAGGATGTATACCCGAAACTATCTCGCTTATGAAAAAGGAACTGCAGGATCCTGCAATCCTAAAGCTTTTTAATATGACCTCTAGAATGACGCCTACTGACTCAAAAAAATGCGGAGTTAGAAAACGCCATTGACTTTCTATCCAGCGAAGTTGTTAATAGGCTGGCTTCGAAACAAAACGCTATAGTGTATAATGTACCAGATAGCGAGCCCATAAAGTCGGTCCAGCACTCATTGCTGAAGGCTGCAAATCTCTTGAGTGCACCTTGTCAGTGCATTCGCCTAAGTAAAAAAGACCTAAAGCATCTATGTCCCATACTCTTTAGGTTCGACAGCTACATAACAGCTGAACGATTTAAGAAGGCCGAAGATCTCCTGGCTACTGCCACTAAATTCAAGACTATTAAAGTAGTGTCCGATAAAACAACTAACCAAAGGCAAGCAACCAAGAACCCCTTCAATACAAAGTTGAACACACCGAGAAATGCACCTGGTATCAGTGCTAAAGTGTCAACGGATTCAGAAGCACAGCAAGTCACCTGTATAGTGTTGGGAAAGATATCGGCAAGTAAAAGCGACTCGAAACTCAGTAAGAGCAGTGTCACTGGGTGCATTCTTAAAGCAATTTGCATATAAACATGGTAGAAGTACCTTGGATGCTGCGGTTGTCTTATATCTTATGTTGTTTCTTGTTTAGACAAAGGTGCCAAATATGTTCGTGGTGCTTTCCTAGACTACACGTCTGCGTTTGACTCTGTACCTAGGGGCCTTTTATTAAATAAGCTCTCCTTGACGCACACAGCATCCTGAGCTAAGAGTTGGTTGCATTCTTATTTCTCTGATAGGATGCAGTATACTGCATATAATGGCAAATCTTCCTCTGCTTTGCTTACAAAAGCCGGTGTTTCTCAAGGTGCCGTCCTCTCTCCTTTTCTTTTTTCTTTCTTCCTACACGACCTGCCTCATTTAAACGAAACTAATTTTGTCAAATATGCTGATGATCTGACTGTATCACTGCCTATCACTTCCGAGTCTGACTGCTCCAAACTTAATAGCTTTCTGTTGGACATCAGCAAGTGGTCTAAGTCAAATGGTCTTATGTTAGATCCTTCCAAATGTCAGGCAGTTAACTTTACCTTCGAGCATCGACGTGACATACATGAACTAGTTAGTTCCCATGATGCCTGTAGCATAGATGGCACTAAAATTGAAACCGAGTCAAGCATTAAATACTTTGGATTGGTTCTTCCCTCTTACCTTTCATGGTCATCTCACATCTTATCAATCTCTAAGAAAACGTTTCGTCTTACCTTCTACATTAAAAAGTTAAGACAATCAAATATCAACCAACCTTTAGTTCTGCAATTTTTAAACTCCTGTATTTTACCTATTGTACTCTTGTTCTCCATTAATCTTCCCTGGGCTTCTTAAAAAAGACTATGTCATATTACGAAGGGTATTAAATGCTGTGAGTAGGGCTTGTGGTTTGCCACTGCGTGAGCTCGCCAATACTATAGTCGAGAGACACGTAAATTCCTGTACAAATTGCGCAAAGGCCGTACTGTCAGACCCTCTGCACCCTCTTTATTCACAACTATCCCCTTGTATCTCATCAGGTAGAACGAGAAGTCAATATAAGAAATTATATGCTCGTACCACTAAGTACAAAAATTCTACAATACCGTATTTAGCCTGTATTTTATGTGATGAAGACTCTGTTGGACGTGAAACATATAAGTTACTATGTAATTAGCATAGTGAATCGACCCTTTCATTGTTCATCTTTCTGTAATTTTATGGTGTCACCCTTTCTATCGTTTAATTATAACTTTGCTATTTTTATTTTAGTTGTTATTACTATTATTACTATAATTTTATACTTTATGCGTATTTTACTCCTTATCGTATACTGTAATTGCTACATAGCCGCTATAAAAACGTTTTGTTATCATTATTATGTATTAATTATTTCGTTTATTTATTTTTTGTTGTTGTCGTTTTTGAGTAAATTAG